AGCTCTTTTATTGATTCTTTTAATGATTGTTTCGTTCCATCTAAAATGAGAGAGGTATCATCTGCATATTGTGAGAGAAGTAGTGGAGAGTTGTCTATATTTATACCCCTAATATAATTATTATTTCTAAGTCTTATTGCAAGTATTTCTGAACACAAAATAAAAATGTATGGAGCTATCGGATCACCTTGACGGCAACCCCTCTTAATTTCAAAAAAAGATGAGAGATTACCACCTTGATTAATTGCAGACATAGAATTTTTATGTAGTGTTTTTATCCAACTTCTAATATCCTCACCAAAATTAAAATATTTAAATACATTTTCAATAAACTCCCAACTAACAGAATCAAATGCCTTTTCAAAATCAACAATCAAAAGCATCCCATCTATATCATTGTCCTCTGTATACTGCATTATATCGTAAATTAATCGTGTATTTTCCCCTAAAAATCTGCCTGCAATAAATCCTGTCTGGTCAGTGTTAATTAATTTATCTAAAATAGTTTTTAATCTAGAAGCTATTGCGCCAGATGCAATTTTGTAAACAATATTCAAAAGACAAATAGGTCTCCAATTTTTAAGAAATTGCCTTGGTTTATCACCTTTTGGTATACATGTAATAATTCCTTGTTTTTGAGTTATAGATAAGTTTCCATTTATATATGCATAATTAATAGATCTTAAAACAAATTTACCTAGTTATTTTCAAAAACACTTAAAAAAATTCTACTGTAAATCCATCTGACCCGGGGCTTTTATTATTTTTCATGTGCTTTAAAGTATGTGACGCTTCAGTAAAAGTTATATTACCTTCTAAAGATAAAGATTCTACATTGTTTAATTTTGGAACATTACAATTGGTAATATGGCGTTTCATTGTTTAAAATCTTGTACATCAATAATAATTAACGTTGTTTTCTTGTACTGTAAAGAGATATCAAGTCTAATACGTTGTATTATGCATTGTGGGGTTGCTTCTACGAAGTCCTGTAAATATTCTTGAAGTATCTAGTTGGACTTACTCTAATATACTTTTCAAGTTTTGTGAACTTCAATTATAGGTCTTATGTATGATACATATATACATAACTGTTCATATGGCTAAGTTTGTATTTTATCATCTTAAAAATCATTATTTTTATCAGAGGTTAAGACTGCCTGATTTCAAATTAGTCCAGAAAATGCCAATTGGTCATTATCAGCTGTACCAATTCTTATTAATTTTGTTTATTAGACTCTAAGAAAAACATTGTATAAGATCAAACATCTTTTGATCAATTAATGTTCCAATTTAGATCAGTATTTCTCTTTACTTTCGTGGCCCAAACCTCCCTTGGCCTTTGTATACGAAGTCCAAATCCAAATGTTTGTTTCAAAGGGGCAGTTCAAGTTTCAGTCATTCAGTGGTTCAACCAATTAGATGATGTGTCGGTTATCTGTGATTTTGAATCACTCCATAAATAATAAAACTTTAAAAGGTTTAAAAAAATTATAGAAATGCTATTTCGTCAAAACCTTCATGGAAATCAATAAAAAATCTTACACATGAAAGTCGACTAACTGAATGACAAATGGTCATGCGAATGGCGAACCTAATATTTTCATTATGAATTATTCAATTTCAATATTGGGAGGGGGGATTCAATCTAATGTGTTGATATTTTCAATACGTATATGTATACTAAAAATAACTTATTTTTCACGTACCTGTGTAAAAGAACCCGGCATTCACCAGATAATCAAGGTCATGTGCAGCGCGATGTGGCCAATGTGTATACGACTCACGGCGTGCGTTCTGCTCTGTGAACCTTGGGTTACGTATTGGGTAGGGGACCTCACCTCCCTGAGCGCCTGCTATTATGTTTTCGTTCTCTCTCACAGCCTCCCCACTTGAAGTCACATTATTATTGTTGGGTACAATTAGCGTGGCCCTGTCAAAGACTTCTCCTGTCCTAGTACGCTCAGCAACAATTGAGTCAATTGAAGCTGCTCCATTGTTTGAAAATAGTGATGATGCATTTTCTGTTTGTCGACGGTTAGTGGGTGACGTTGCTTCATCGATACGAATGTTTCCGTCATTGTTTCCAGAGCGTGTTCGTGCCGATGTGTCGTTTGCTTCCGACGTTTTTTCTGCTTGGGCTTGGCCTTGGTTGGGCTTTCTTTGCTGATTGTTTCCTGGGGGCTGTTGAACCGGAGAGTGGGCTGCTTCCTGGTTGACTCCCATAGGAGATGGGGCTTGATTGTGTGAGGAATCCGTCAACGCTCTGTTTCGTTGGCCATCAAAACCTTGCGAGTTTGTTTGTCGGAAGAACTCACAATCAGGTGAATGCTCTCTGTGATACTGCATTGGAGTTGTACCATTTAGAGTTGATGCATTTAGTTCCAGTCCACACGACTTACATTCAACGGTGGATGTTTTAGGGTCTTTACAGGAAAAGCCAGCCTCCACCAAAGGTCCAGTACGGATGTTACGGTGGGGCCAAATGTTGTAACTTGATAACAACGACATCACATCCTGTACCATATAGAGATGTATATGTATCTCTTTTTGTGTGTCACATGACAGCTCTCGTAAATGTCGAATCAATTCTGAAGTTTCCTTCGGTTCCCTCGGCACTCTATAGGTATGAACTTCTTTTGGTTCATTGATTGTGGAGTCATATAAATACTTAAGCAAACCTTTCACGATGACACTGTGTTTCTTAGGAGTTTCCAGACTAATTGTTAGTTTCTTGCCTCCTTCTGTGTGATCAAATAGTTTTAAACGTCCAAAACAGGAATGTTTCTGTACAGAATAATCACCTGTTCCTCCTTGAACTGATCCTAAAGACAATTAAATGTGACTTTAGATTTCCATGCAAAAGAAGACGTAATCTTACAGTGTCAAAAACCTCATTTGCCATATAGGGCTACTAAGAAAGGTCGGCGACACCATAAAATTTGCTCGTACCTTCTTTTTGTTCATTTTGATTATCAGGCTGCACAAGTGTAAATGCATTCTGCATTATGAATGATAGTTCAATGTGGATTCTCGTTAATATTCTCTACAGATAAAATAAAGTGCTATAGTTATTTTAATACTAACATTAACTATAATTAAAGGTGAACTCACCATCAGACTATTTATTTACTTCGACCCTTACTACTTATTTCGAAGAAGACTCATTCAGAATTAATTCATACAAGTATAATGACCCTGTTATAGTGTACTTTATATGGTATCATCATTTAGCTAATTTATGTAGCCTTTTAAGAAAGGCATCATAATTTTTCTCTTATTTCCCTAAAAACACCACATAACTGTGAGAATCTATCTTAAATGGGTATATGTAAGTATACTACAAATGCATTCTATCAATGTGGTCTTACCTGCATTAGAAACAGTGATATATTTGCGTGTAACCAAATCAGGTTGGTCACAATTCTTCTTTTCAACCAATAAATCTTTTTGGCTTTTAGCATCATCAGGATGGTTATTTGAATGTTTTCCATCTTTTCCCTGAAAAACCTTAGAAAACATGCCACCATTATATACAATTTATTCCTGCAGAAATGCTTGTGAATATACATATAAAAATACAAATGAGAAAAACTGTAACTATGGAAACTGAAATCAACCTAAAATATAAAGGGTACTTTAGATATTGCATATTTTCTCGTTGATTGATAATTAAAAATAGCAATTCGAGGACCTTATATACCGCTTTATCGCAACCTAGTTCGTAGGTCGTCTCAAAGCGGTTCACAAAGTATTTGTTCAAAATGTCAATAAGTCACGCCAATCAATAATGCTTATAATACTATAAATCAGTAAGACCCAATCTATAAGTTATTTTAATCGTGTAACCGTTACGTTAGTTGAGATATTTTATGGCATGTATCCGACAAGCTACATGTCAACTAGAACTCTATTCTAGTCTCTATCTGAAAGAGGTCGTTTAATCTTCACTTGATAATCATTGACACTATTCAACTTCAAGCCAAAGATTATAACGCTAGAATATAAGACGATATCAATCCAGTGGACTCCCATTTAACATAAAATAGTATGTTCAGTTCAAGTATTTAAAGAAACCTTTATGTCATTGTTCATGACTTGTGAATAGTTTGTACCAAAATAATAATGAACAATTATTATAATGCAAACACAAAATCAGCTGAGATTATAATCAAATGCATTTTATTTTACCTCGGTCGACTGTGTCAAGACATGGCGAATATAGTCCTGTCCTTTCTTATATCTAACATAAGCACAACCAGGACTGTTAAAAGTATGTTCCATCCATGGGTCTTCAAGTGGCGAATTACCAATGCAAAAGTAGCAGGAAAAACATACAAAAGAATCTCCTGAAACGATTTAAAATTATGGTCAGAGTATAATCAAACAAATCACAAACGATGCTAAGCATACATCCTTTTTCTAAAAACATTATCTAGCATTACGGATTCCTTATAGGAAACTGCGAGTGTCCTTTCGTGGACGACACAGATGTATCCAGTGACATCCCAGGCGTGCCTTTACATAACTGGACGTTTGCATGTTGGTATGCTAATGAACAGCCTTATTTTTATAACAGGATGATCTGAGTCAAATGGTACATTCAATTGCATTGCCTAGGTGGAACACATAGAATCAAGATATGTTTGTATATTACGGTGGGCTATATAATTAAATATTCGAAAATATTTAGAACTAGAAAATGTCTGCAAGACATAAATGCCCCCGCTGCCATGTGAAATTATTTTCAGTGTTTTATAAAAAGTTACACTAAATGCCCCCCCATTTTATGGAGGGTTGTACCTTTGTAAAAAGTTTGACCAAAATCTGTCAAAGAATGAAGTTGCTAAGTAAGTGTTTACATTGAATCGGGTCGCGGCGCGACGGGACGGGTGTTACATTGAATCGGGACGGGACGGGACGGACATGGGCAACACTATAAAAAGAGGTTGAATAAAATATGAAGTGAAACCATACTTCCCCGTGCTATATATGTTAAAAACATACCTGTAAAGACGAAACCAGCATCCGCAAATAATTCACAATCAATATAGGACAGTGACATTGCAATGTATGTTTCCAGACGTCCGTTCATTTCTGTAAACCGTGTAATTTGTTCACTTCCAAACCAAACTTCATTTTCGATCCGTAGCAATTCGCCGTCATCGTCTTCCGATGCTGTTTTGCTCGGAAGGAGTTTGTTGCGGTCAGGACACTCTTCATCGCTGGTGCTTTCCAATTGAATCGAATCTATAATACAACCACATGGTACTTATAGGGCGTTGGAAATAAGGTTACGAGGGCTATTTAATACATTCTACCACTGGTGTCAGGAATTACAAATATTACATTCCTTTGAACAGGAAAAAGTCACAGTAACTTAGATATAATGAATAGGATGATATGTGTGCTACCTTCTGTTGCTTCGAAAACGCCTGTACGATATTACTATTGTGGGATGAGATATTGCCGTGAATTAACTGGATGTCATTGAACCGTTTACTTGTTTTCATGCATACATTTTTGACATGTTTCAGTACTTTGTCTCTGTGAAACTTAGCAATAAGTTTTCTTCATTGTACGGTATTTGAACCGCAGCCCCACTCAAATTGAAAGCAAATGGCATACAAAACTTTCTCAGCGCTTTTTATACGTCTTGCAATTACTGTTCTTGCTTGATTTCTCGACACTCATTGCTTGTTATTAATGTCGCCTTAGTGTTCCAAGTAATGCACCGAAGTCTCGTCACATGTAAGTATCTCGAATAGGTTTCTTGAGTCGTTGTTACGGTACTTTTCCAATGTCATCAAATCGGTCATCAATCGGGCATACAGCTTTTTTTTTAATTTCAAGCACTTAATAGAAAGATCAATCTCAAAAACGTCATTAACTATTACTTTCAAATCAGCAATGTTATTCTGAGAGGCCTGCCTGGCCGTGTATCCTCTTTGATGTCGACTTAACTATTACCATTCTTGAATTTGTTTATCCACCTGAAAACAGCAGCAATGTTCAGCACATGTGCTTTTTATGCTTCACCACTCAGTTTTTGCGGTATCTGTGAAGCACATCGTGCTGTAGCATAGGCGCGTATTTCAGATTTAGTCTCTTTTAGTGTTTCGTTTGAACACTAAAAGGTAGCCACTAGTCACGAGAGCATACCATTCAACAATAAATAACTTGATCTGTTCCTGCCGGATGTGTCGAAATATTGCACGTGCACTGTTCTTAACCGCTATTTTTTGTTTATTGTCAGTTCGCACAGAAGCTGTGAGGTGACAAACTTATTGAATGGCCCTCGTACTTAACGTCCTTCGTTATGTATTAACCACCTACACTATTGTAAGTTGACGTTTAAATGCCATACAGCAAATTATAACTTTTTCAAACTATATTTTCGGTGGGAAAAGTGTATACAAGGTTATAAAAGACAACTATGAAAACTTCACACAACACGTAATGAAGCGAAACATCATATGTAAAATATAGGATTTTGTAAAGGTTTGTTCTCAATGGTTTCTTTTCATAGATCATTTTCAATATAGAGAGGTACCATATATAATGACGTTAACAAGATCTGCTACCAGGACTTGGCTAGACGAGTTTAGGCAATTCGGTATATTAATTTACCTTCAGTCCAATTTTCACCTGTATCCAAAGTATCAGATTCTAGTCCTTCAATCCGTTTTGCTGAATGCCACATTGCACTAAATTTCTCTATGTTGATTTTCGTCAATTGCAGTTTGCACCCGTTAAATACTTTAAATACAAAGAAACGATATTACCATTTTTCCTGCAAAAAGTCGAAAAATAGTCTGCAAAGCACATGGAGAAAGTAACAATATAGAACGGAAACGATGTTTTCAGGAAACGATTGTCGTTGTCAAAGGGATCAACATATAACTAACATTACATCACTTGAAATTAATAAGTGTCCATCGGACTCTGACTAACTTCGTGACTAAATGTTAACAGATATATATATACAAAAATACCAATGAAGATATTTCCCGTTGTCCTATAACACAAGACGTCATTTTGCATTCTCGTGTTTAATACTGGTTATTTATTTTCTGTGTTTTAGTTATTCCAAAATAATACAAAAACAAAGATCATTATCAGGCTTGAAAGTGCATGTGTGACAGTTACCAAAGTTCCATTGAAGAATCCTTTATCAAACCAACCAGAAAAACATTTGTTTAAATGTCTAGAACATACTAATTACTGAAACAATACAAATAAAATCGGAAACATTGAACAAGATTCCCATGTCCACTTATGAAGATAGTACGGGGCAATAAAACGAAAAGCTAATTAACCATCAATCAATGCATTAATCAACCTTAAAAATCTGTATAATAAAGTTATTAAAAGAATGTAATAATGTGTCCGCCATTATAATATGTTTATGTTCAAATGTTATTGTTTGATTATATTGTAAGGTTGCAGCCTAATCCGGTTTTAGATACATTTATAAAGATATTAATACTAGTGGGGCGATACCTTAAGGGGTGTCACAGATGGAATAAAGTGTAGAGGGCCATAACTCTGTTTAAACAGCTATTCAACATGAAATTGAAGAAACTGTTTGAATGCTTTTAACAAATTTGACCTCTTTGACCTTGAATAAGGTTCAAAGGCATTTCCTTTTGCAAAATTTGTCTGGTATAATGCTGCTGTGAAGGCAAAGAAAAAGAAATGGACAAAATTTACCTTCGGACCAGGTGAACTAACAAGAGTAGTGTAGGGCGGAACAATATACGCCTGTCGTATGCCATATATTGTTATATATTAACTTGCACTAAAATAAGATTTGCATCACCTTAAGAGTGGCTAGCTAGCTATATATAGCATGTTATAAATCTCACCTTTCACTACAAAGTCAAAGTTCGATTTTCTTTAATTTCTAACAGTTTGAGGAAAACAAGTAATCAAAAGATTAGTCTCCAACTCATTATATTAACACAACTTGATAACATGATTATGAAGCCTACCAAGTTTCGAATAAATCGATAGAAAACTGTAGATCTCCGGACAAGATTCAAGTACTAGAAATAAACAAAGGGCAATAACTTCTGCAAAAATAGTCGAATCAAATTTTTGTTCAAAGAAACATAACTATATATCATGACTATAACGATTTCCAAGTTTCAAAGAAATCGGTCGTAAAATGTAGGAGGAGATCGGCGGATAAAATCAAATACTGAAATAAACGAAGGGCAATAACTTTTACAAAAATTGTCAAATCAAAAATCTTTTCAGGGAAACAACATGTTATGATAATAATAAAGCCTAACAAGTTTCAAAGAA